GGATTGTGGTCCTGACTCCTTAGTGACTGAGTGTTTGGGAGATGGTGTATTAACTCTCTCCTATGTTGGTAGCAGACTGTATGAAGTACGCATGAGAGACCCGGGTCTGTCTTGGTAGATTGTTATCTTCCTACAAAATAGATTCTCATGCAATGTGTGAACTAMAAACAACAGGATGTAAGTTTCAGATGGAGAGCAGTGTCAAGCGGAAAAGTGACTTTCCTAGAAAATGAACAGGTTGAATGTTGAGAGAGACAATATGAATACATGTGTTTCTCCTCATATTCACCTGGGCAGATAAGACAGCTGTGCACCCAAGTACCATTCAGAAAAGCCACACAGGAGTGTGGCTAGTACCACATTTTTACAGCTGGATTGATGTTTCTCTTTCCTTTAACCGTGGGCAGGTGGAAAGTATGGATAGGTGATTTTTCTTTCTGGAAGTTCTCTTAGTCTATTTTTGTTGCTATAACTGAATACCTGAGACTGGGTAATTTATAAAGGATAGAGGTTTATTTTGGCTCATACTTCTAGAAACTAAAAGTCCAAAATTGGGCAGCTACATCTGGTGAGGGCCTTGTGTATGTTAAAACATGGTGGGCAGGTGGACGTGAGAAGAAAAGACAAAGCAGAAGGGATGGTCTTAACAACCCAYTCTTGTGGTAAATAATCCAGTCCCTGGAGAACAGCATTAATCCATTTWTGAGGACAGTGCCCCCTGTGACCTAATCACCTCTTAAAGAATCCATCCCTTCTCAGTATCATTACATTGGGAACCAAGTTGCAATATGAATTTTGGAGGAGACAAATCATAGTCAAACCGCAGCATTCTCCATGAATGTTGATTTTTTTTTTAAGCTGAGTATTTGGGCAGCACTGATTTTGTTTGCAGAGGATGTGGAGTATTACATTTAGATGTTGTCACTTAAAAAATGGACCCATTTGCTTTAAGAGCAGTTGAGCTGATAGACACATTTCTTACAAAATAAGGTTCTTTTCTCCCCTATTTATTTTGAGGAAGGGGTTTTTTTTTTTTTTTCTCCACAAACACACTATTTAGTAGTTTTCTGTTCAGCAAAGCCTTCGTACACCCACCCTGCCGAGTTGATTTTCTTTGTATATTATTTTATTATCTTGCATTATATGTCATATACACATTATTATCTCACTTAACTACCTTATWTTATAATTATATGTCTATGCATCTCCCGCTATGCTATAAGTGCCGTGATRTTAGGGACGGGTATTGTTCATCTTTTTGTGTTCTTGTGCTCCCYAGGACAGTGTCTGACGTGATGTATAAAGAACAAGTATAGGGAATGTCTATATATGTTAAATGAATAAATAAAGGAAACCCCAGGATTAGAGCCTGCCTCTAGAATATTGGCACTTTGTGCCCAGTATTCTGGATGTAGCTCTTAAAAGTGGGGTGCTGTTTTCATTGGCAAATTCTTGAGCCCTTTTTCCTCTTAGATTACAGAGCAGCATCCYGATGTGTCTCATTGTGATCTGACATGTGCTATGTTTGATTGCTTGTTGATAATGAGTGGTGACAAGTGCTGTCATAGTGTGGCCGCTTTGGTTCCAAGGTCATATCTTTCCCTTGGTTGAACATACTTGGGTTTTGCATTTCAAGATGTTGGTTTATGAAACCTGGTAGGTTGTGTTTATTATTTGTGTTCTGGAGCATTTATCATTGTCTGACCTCTGTAACCCCTGGTTTCCATTTTGATCAAATACCATTTGTGCATGGCAAGCTCTGGATTAATGCTTAGCATATCTAATGTGCAGTGAGTTGATTGAATGACCTTTGAATCTTGTCTCTTCTTTTTCTTGCTGCAGAATTATGATTTCTAACTCATCTCAGGATCTTCATTACATTTTTTTTGCTTTGTGAATTATTTTCCATATTTCTTATTGGTGCATTATAATTATACACAATGGTGGGATTCATTGTTACATATTCATATAGCCACACAATTTAAGAATATAATTTGGTCAATATCATTCCCTAGAATTTCCCCTTTCTCTCTCACTGGTCCCTTTCCTCTACTGGTCTCCTTTGGATTTTTATAAGATACCTTCCCCCACTTTTCTAGCCTTTCAAATACCAGAGAAAACATGCAAACCTTGATTTTTCTGAATTTGGCTTATTTTGCTTAATATGATGTTTACCTCATAAATTTAATCATTCTCATGGRGAGTGATTTATTTTAGAATTGTATGGATCATTACTAATGTGACATTTAAAAACAATTTTTTTTAGTTGTAGATGGACACAGTGTCTTTACTGTATTTTTTATGTAGTGCTCAGGATCAAACCCTGTGCCCTCCACATGCGAGGTGAGCACTCTACCACTGAGCTACAACCCAGCCCCATTAATGTGACATTTTAAAGATATGTTATTGAGTCTYTGTTATTCCACTTAAAGAGCTTCCTTTCTGTTTTCTTTAGCTGAATTTTGATTGGCAAACACTCTGGAGACAGGAAAATAAAACAAACAAATGACAAAAACATGATAGAATGTATACACATTTTAAGACATCATATATTACCCCACTTATATGTACAGTTTTTGTTTTGATGAACCCGTTTAGATTTAATTACAAATTAAAAAAAAATTATTACCAAAGACAAATGCATAAAAAAATTTGTAAAGTTTGTCACGTTGGAGTGATGATATTAGAGAAATTAAAAAGCTTTCCTCCAATTTGTTCATTACTAATTTCAAGACAAGATTAGACAGAGACAAGGTTGGAGCAGAGGCCCCGCCCCCCTTTCCTCCTTTTTTGCTGTGGCACTTATTGAGTCCTCATATAGAAGTGATGTGTAAGACCAAAAATTGAGATCGATATTCTAAGTGCTTTGACATCTGGGCTTCTCTTGTGGAAAAGTCCCCCAGCTCAATAACCRTCTCAGACCCCAGCCCACTGGGGTTTTGATCTCAGCCTTGTGAAACCCGGAGCAAACACTGACTTACAGAACTCAGAGATGATAAATGGGTGTTGTTTTAAGCCTCTAACTTTGCAGTCATTTATTATGCAGCAATAGAAGCTTAATGCAAGTGTTGGTGGGAATTTATGTTTGTTTTCTTTGGTTTCTCCCTCTTTGAGAAATATAGCATTAATCAAATCATTTTATTTAACATGAATAACAAGAAACAGTCCATCTACCTAATGTTTCCATTTTGTGGGAAGAATTCTTACACAGAGGAATGGGTGTGCTCTGTGTCCAACACAYAGCTTAACATTTGGATTGGTTTTAGTCTACTTGGATGAGCCACGGTTTCCCTATGAATCACTACTTTAACATCAAAGTCACATCTTCAGTTATCGTGGGATCCAGAAGCACTTCACTGATTACAGCCTCTGCCTCGAATCTTTTCTGTTTGAAAAAATGAATGCTTGTAGACCTCTAAAGAAATGAGAAATGATCAATACCAGAATAATGAGAATTGTATTTTAAGTTGTTCCACTTGTGTATGTTGGTTACTTTCCTTTGTAAAATACTTGGAAACTTGAAGCTACCATAGGAGTGACAGATAGTGAAGACATTGTATGCACAAATAGAGTTTAGTATGTAATCAAATGAGTATGACACACACTTAGTGTGGAGATAAAAGGCAAGGGGGGTTGTATGAAATATTATAACTATTACTTATAATTACTCTGCCTGTTATATAAGGCATTTCTTCCCTCAGCCAAGGGGAAGGAAACTGGCAGGCGGGCTCTCTTGGACTTCGCTTGCAGCCCCTGATTCCTGCTCCAGGAGTGACGGGGGAGATGTGAATGCTCTCAGCAGGGCAAGCCCAAGAGTGCTGGGGACGAGATAGCTCAGGTGGGCCAGCTCCTGCCTCCTTTCTTCGTTCAGGAACATGAGGAAACGGAATGGGGCAGCTTGGCCTTAGGGCCTCTTGGATTTGTCTAGRACTGTGTGTGTGTGTGTGGGGGGGGGGAGCTCCATCTCTGCTTCCCTGTAGGTCCTCCAGGGCAGCCCTCGGCATCTTTCCCTCTGTGCTTATGTGAGATCTCCTGGTGCCTTATCTGTGCTTCTGTGGCTTCTCCCTGCAGACGGAGAGATGAGGCTAGAGGCTTGAATCTTCTTTCAGTGATCTTATATCACAAAGGTGAAATTTAAAGGAAAGCCTTTTCCCAGGACCCAGAATTTTCCCACTCCTGCTTGAAATTCAATTCATTAAAGATTAATTTGAATTAATAAGCAAGTACCTTAAACCAGCTAATAGCAATTATTAAAAATGACCCTATACCTTAATAATAATCATCCCTAGCATGTGATACATATACTTAGTGTGAGCCCCGGGCTGTTCTAAAGGCTTTCCGTGAAGTAACTTATTGAATCAGTGTAGAAACTCTGTAAGGAAGGTTCAGAATGTCCAGTCACTTGTCCCTGCTACATAGTGATGATGAGGATATCCTGAATGGTATCCCCATGTTCCTGCTCTGGGATTCAGGTCCTCAGCCACTGTACAGAGCTGCTCTCMTGCATCTTTAAGGACGGTTTGTTTAATTTGCTTTTTCTTAACATGTAGAGCAGTACGTGCAGGGGATAGGACTGGAAGTGAAGAGGTTGGGGGCATTTTGGGAGGAGGATGACTCTAAGGGGATTGCAATGGGGACTTTGGAAAGACACTTGGAAGGCATTCTGCATGGCTTTTGTTTCCCCACGAATAGTAGTAAGAAACCCACCTGCAAGCATCTTGGTTTACTGGCTTTATAATTAAGATAATAATTCAGCCAAGGGCCCAGCGAGCTCTACCTCTCTCCTGTGCCTCTCCTTTGACCTCAGCATCATTTTTCTTTTCCTTTAATGTTTCAGTTGCAGAAAGCCCTCATGTATGTTCATGTACATATATGATAAATGAAGTGTTTTATTTAGCAAGTATTTAAATGTCACTTAAATGGCATTTTGCAAATATTCTTGAAGTAAAGGCCAATGAAAAGCAACTAATTCTATAATTACCCTTTTCTACCTCACACAGTATTGGCTGGATCCTGCAAAAACCCTTGCCGAACACAAAGAACTGATCAACAGTAGGTATTTAATTTTAACTTTGTTGAGGGGGTGGCTTGATGTAAGGTCTGTGGTTTGTTGGGTGCAGAAATGGGTGTAAGTCCTGTTGAGGTGAGTACTAGTGCTCAAGTACCAGAGTATAGAAATGGGGTATTCCCATGTTGCATTGCTAAGCTGTCTGCAATTTTAGTTTAATCAGACTCTGAGTAGATCCTAATGCTGTATTGGATTTCTCCTAGGGGTACATCTTCCCTCGATTTTTTTTCTGCGATTTTTCTATATGCTTGTCGTTAAAATTTGGCCTTAGTATAGAAAAGGCAGAGAGGCATTGATTTTGAAAGCAAGATGAGAGGTTATGGAGTGGTTTTAATTAAGGGTGTCCTTGTGACCTGAAAAATTATTGTGGCTTCAGAGAGACACAATCCATTTTCAGGGGTTAGCTTTTGGATTTATCAATGTGGATATTACTAGGATACTCAGTACAATTAAGTATATATATTCTTTAATCTTAATATAATTTCAATAGCTCATTTTGTATTTATAAACACACACAGATTGTTTAAGTATACAACAGAATAGCCCTTTAAAATTTTTTTAAATTGTAAAATAGACATAACAAAATATACAATTTTGACCATTTTTTATGTACAATGCAGTGGCAGTAAGTGCATTCACATTGTTGTGCAGCCGTCAGCGCTGTCTCTCTGTCTTCATCTTCCCATGCTGAAGCTCTGTACCCATTGGAACATTTGGTTTAAATGTGTGAATTGTTGCCCCTCAGAACCTACTGGTTTTTTTGGCTTATTACCCCATTCCAAGTCTGTACTTTTCATCTGTACTCTTTCCCCATTGGTTGCATATGGCTCACTGATCCCAGTAGGAACACAGATAGGCCTTGGAGATGAATTGGATGCCAGGAACTGCAGACCTCCACCCCCCCACCAAAAAAAAAAATAAGTCCTGATTCTCTCAACATCAGCATCATTTTTGTTTCTCTACTTTTCCGCTATCGTAGAAGGAGCCACCAGAGTTTACAAATTATAGCTCCAGCCCATTTGAACCAATTTTTAAAATTCCAATTGGAAAATTAGAAAAATTTCAGGAATGATTATTTGAAAATAAACATGCAGATTTCTTTTATAAGGAGGAGGTTGAGATTTTCATTGAGGTTATAAAGAAAAACATTGAAATTATTTTAAGTTTCACTATTAAGTGTTCTTTGGCACATTGTAAATGTCCATTTACATGATAGAAAATATTTCTTTAACTATCACAGTAAAAAGTAATTTTTGTCCTAAAGATATTAATACTGTTAAAAGTTGGATAAGCAGTAAGAATGAAACTCTGTTACAATTGAAGAAATATGATATCACTGAAGAATACTTACATATAATTCCATGAAACTACTTTGATACTTATTGAAGGAAAATGGCTCTCAAATCTCCAATAGGATAGTTAGGAGGAACATCCATAAAAATAACAGAACATTAGCTAGTCACCAAGATTCTTGTGGGTAAGTCATAAAAAGCCTTGAAATTAGTCTTTATGAATTTTAGGTTAGGGGATTCCAGTTTCTGGCTCCTGACTTTTTGGCTAAAGAAAACTAATATTCATTTCAGATTGCAGAGTTTCTTTAATGTTGAGTGTATGGAATGACATTTATTTAAGATAATAATTAAGCTGTTTGCTTCACTAGCACCTGATTTTTGCAGTTAGTCTTAGAATAGGAAGCCAAAAAATATATGGCTAGCYATAGTCTTGTTCCAAAATGAACATTTCCTTACCCTTTAATTGCTCTACCAAACAGTGATGTATAYGAGAATATTTTCTCACACTAAAGGATTTAGAAGTTTGGTTTCCCTGAGAGGCTGCGTAGAACAGTGCCGAAACAGCACTGAATACTGAATACTTGCAAACTGTGGTGGAAGGCAAATTGCTGAACTCCTCAGCATCTGTTACCAGGTGGTTGTGGAGAATGAAGTGTTTATGAAACATTTTTGTACATTACCAAATTCAATTCAAAGTAATGATGCCTTAATTTAGAACACAAGGCACTTCATGTGGGGCTTTTTGAGTGGGGAATGGTGGGCTTATTTGGGCCAAAAGTCCTTTAAGAATATTAAGTCAAACTGGTTTTTGTTGTGTATTTTTCCAAGTTCTGCTTAACTGCTCATTATTGAACACATTTCAAATAGCTGTGCTTGGTGAATAGAGGGTAATCTGTCATGTGCCACAGAATGAAAGCAGCTCTGTGGTGTGGAGAAGGCCTCTTCCCTTTGTGCGCTGTCTCGGCAGCATCTGTGCGCCTCCCCGCCCCCTAGGTGCCAACCCCAGCTGCCTGTGGGCACAAGCAGGCCCATCTGCTCAGGAACACAGAGCTTGATTGACATAGACAGAGCAGCCAMGGGTGGACTTCCTGGTTCTTCTAAATATTTAATAGTCTTGCCTCCCTGACATCTATGTTTAGGGGTAGAGGTGTTATTTGTCAGAAATACATAGTGCTTAAGTAAACATTAAAACATATAAACATCAGTAATTTTAAGAACTTATAATCAACTCTAAGGATAAAAAATTAGAGCAAAGTTTTAAAAATTTTGCTTTCAAAAAATATCACCATAAAAAGTACCTTCCTCAGGAAGACACAGATGAGGGGAGAAACCCTGGCCTTGATTGTCATCTGTAGACTTGAACAGGCCTATGGGTTATTACAAACATAAACATGCGTGTGTGTAATAATAATAATAAATAACATAGTTTGCATATTATAAACATGTCTTTGTTACTTGTTCTGATTGATTTTTTGCCAGTTTCTAAATTTGTCATTTTATTTACACAGTTAAAAATGAAAATAGAAAGACTAGGCTTATTGTCAGTTATTCAGAATGACAGCCTTACTGGGATGTATGCTTGACATCTTTTCTTATTTGTTTGTGTGGGAGCCCTTTTGTTGAAGAAAAAGATTGCAACTGTGACCATCAGTTGGTGCACCAAGCAAAAAAACCTTTCTTAAAATAAAGCACATTAGATTTAGTTAGAGAACAGCTTGAAAATATTCAGTTTTGAAAATAGTGCACATTCGATTTATACCTTATGACACAGAAATATTTCTAGTAAAAACATAATATATTGTGGTTGGCACCCAAGGGACCTTGGTCCTTCTGCACAATGTGAGTGTTTGATTACTTATTTTATATTTGCATGTGTATGTACAATTCCAGGCTTTGTTTCTGATTATTTTTTATTGTTTGTAGACTTAATTTTTCTGTGTGTGTTAAATGCATGAGACAAGAAAAGTCTCTTACACATGTAAGAATATATTTTTACATTCACAAGAATTTAAGAATTAAACAATTATTGTCCTGAATCCTATGACGTAGCCCCCACTGATAATTAAGAAAATTCTAACTAATCAGTTTAAAAGTAGAAAGTTTCTAATCTCATCTTCCAAAATTTGCCACTGATTATAATTTCTTATGTATTTTCCCAGGGGAAAAAAACCCACATGTATTAACTAATACTTTACTTTTCCTCAAAAAGGACCATATTTTTGCACCCAGGAATGTAGATTGGTGATCTTTTCCACATCAGCATGTAAAGAACTCCCTGTCAGTTTGAGTAGTTGCTTGAGATCATGTGTATGTGCTGTGGTTGGGTTGACTTAAATTGTCCGCCTACTGCTGAGAGTTTGTTTCCAGTTTTTTGTAGAGAAGTTGAAAAAAAATTTTGGATGGTTTTCTAAATAATTAATTTTGTTTATCAATATCCTTTTTTGTTATGAAAAACTATATATATTAGAAATTATGAATAATGAGAAAATAGAAATAATAAAAATTGTGTACAACCTTGTTAACCAGATAAAAGAAACAGTGACATTCTTGTGTATTTGACCCAGCATGTTGTCTATGTTTGCTTGTGGACACATACACACATATATATATATACGCATTCATGCATAGTTGAGCTCCTACTGTTGATAGTTCTGAACTCTGCTTTTTCCATTTTGTTTTCTTATGTCAAATTCTTAGTAGCTATGTAAAATTATAATGCTACTTTGGCTATAAAATGAACCGTAGTTAATTTCTATTTCTTATTTTAGCTGGACCTCCATATACTTTGTATTTTGGTATTAAGTTCTATGCTGAAGATCCATGTAAACTGAAAGAAGAAATAACCAGGTACAGTACTGACTTTGTTTTTGAACAGATACATGTAGGRTATATACAAAAGGCTTTATTGGAAACAAATAAAATTGGGGTCGAGCCTTTGGATAGTGTCTACATGGTTTTGTAATTTATTTCCTGTGAGGATTAAATTTATACTAGCATTGTGTGAGGCAAATCAGTGTCTGATGACAGATGTGTTTGAAAAATGACACGAACCTGGGTGACATGATGATAGATTTTGTATCTGCTGTGTTGGGAGATTCTGTATTATTACTGCTAAGCATGCATTCAGCCTTTGTATCCATATAGAAATAGCCATTTGAACTGCATAGTGGAAGGCTATTTTGATGCTTGGTTTACATATGTAAATATACATTTGAAGAGTCAGTTGTTTCTCTTTTATTAGTTATTCAGGTGTTTCATTTATCTCTAACAATAAAATAATAAAATATCAGTTATTCGAGTGTTTAATTTATCTCTACAGGAAAAGAAAATTACTTTTACTATTAAGAAAGGAGAGAAAACACTTGTGTTTTCATTTATTACTTTACCTTGGTCATCAAATATTTTATTTCTGTAAAGGCAGAATTTCTAGTTGGTATTAATTAGGTGATCAAAATAGTCATGCCAACATTCAACAATGATTTATAAAGAGCAGACAATAGTGTGTTTAACTTATTTGACCAGTGACTTGGCTGCATGTGGCACCAAAAACAAAAGCTTTTTCCCTAACTTAAGTGACCAATTTTCCAGGGGTTCAAATAGAGCCTCATACGGTATTTTAAAAATTGGAAATCATATCTTTGAGAACTAAGGCAGCCTGTGGTTTTATTTTATTTCATCCTTTCATCTTAGACTTCTCTTTTGTCTTTATTTTGGACTGCACACAGAAGAGTGAGAAGAGGGCAGGCTAATCAAACCTTTTCCATCCCACTCTGAAGTGCCGCATTTAGGCCTCATTTTCGGAACACGTGGATGCCTGCACTCCTGTCTTTCATTGTCACGTTGTTACTGAGCACATTGAAAACTTTCCCAGTGTACATCTCTCTGGGAGAAGGGCCATTGGAGCAGGAGGAGATGTTCACACAGGGGTGGTATTTACATTAGAGTTTCAGGGGGGAAACAGAGTCCTAGTGATATAAAAATATCTCAATACCAGTAATCATTAGGGAATTGCAATGGAACAACATTTTATTAAAATACAGTGAAAGTTCCACGTTTTGAAGTTGTCCCTATGTCTCAGTTTCTTCAATGGTTAATTGGAGATGCAACTGTCTCACAAAATTTTATGAACTTTAGACAGAATGATGTATTTGAAGCTCCTATAGTTGTGTTTGGCTCATAGTAAGTGTTGAATAGATGTTAATATTTATTATTTCATTCTTTGTCCTAAAAATACAGTGAAATTGGATTTTAATTGGGGTTAGGTTCCAAATATGTCTGATTTAGTGTTATCTGACCTCTGTTAACCACATATTGAGTAGTCAGAAATTTCCCTTCAGATCAACTAATGACTTGTTAACAGAACACAAGGATTTGTGTATAATGTCTATTTCTAGTGTAACCTGTTTTTTTCCTCAAGTATTAGATCAAATCATATAGCTAAGAACCAGGGATGGAGTTGATTACAAATGGTGGTTATGCCCCTCCCTCCCTCTCTCCCTTCCTTCCTTCCAAAATATGTTTTTGAATTTAGGTAAGTCAAATGTGCATTTAATGTGATATCACTATATACTGACTATTAAAATGTGCTGAAGAGAAAGACATTGATTTGCATGAATATGTTAACTTAAAGGGACAAGACCTGAAAAAGTGAGTCAATTGCAAGATATAATTTTGGCAAAAGTAAAAACTGAAACAGAAAAGGCCAATACCCCAACTTATTTATTTATTAGTTTACTGCTTGAGATCAAACCTAGGGGTGCTTTACCAATGAGCTACATCCCCAGTCTTTTTATTTTTTTATTTTGGGCCAGGCTTTTGCTAATTTACTGAACCTGGCCTTGAACTTGCCATCCTCCTGTCTTAGCCACCTGATTTACAGGGTTTACATGTGTGCACCACTCCCTGGCCCAACATATGCTATTAAAGGAAAAGGGTACTTAGGCCAGCATTTTCAAGTTGTTTATTTTGATTCAGTTTATTCAAAAATTGTTCCAACCTAATTTGTGTTGCATACAAAATACAATGCTGTATAGTAAACTTGCTTATATGTAATCTACAGAATTTTGTTTGAAAATCATATATTATATGGATCTTTTCACCATCTGACCTGTTCTTTTTATTCCCACATAGTGTTCCATAATTTATTTAACCATGCCTTTGTAAATGGCCATTGAGATTATTTTCTTTTTCTTTTTTTTTTAAAAAAAGATTATAAATAATGCTGCAGTGAATCTTCTCATGCACATACAGGATCATACTAGATGCAATATTTCAAAAGGATAGTGTACTTAGGGGAAAAGGACTAGAAGTGAATGGACTAGAATGGGAAAAGACTAGGGTTCTTCTATAGCATGCATGAGGCCATAGGTTCAATTCTGGAAAAAAACAAAAACAAAACAAAAGTAGGCAACAAAATTCAATTAGGATCCCTTTTATCATTTGTACTATGTTTTCTTTCTGGGTCTATACAGAATAAATCTAATCTCTCTTCTTTAGTCCTTCAAATAATTTGTGTCCTTATGAGATCTGTTAAGCTTATTTATAATTCTAACTAAAATATTTTAATATTCTTCCATGCATAAAATGTCATTTATACTTTTGCATCCTRTGCAAATTTTATGTATGTATAACGCACACATTGGTGAATAAGACAGGCTTGGGCTCAGWCCAGTAGAGGTTCATTTTCTTAAAACTTACTAGTTGTATATTTCTGAGAAGATTATGTAATCTTTCAAAGTCTCACTTTTCTCATTTGTCTAAGGGAATTATAGTATTTCTTCAAGAGGATGACTGAAGGAATATATAAATTAATCTATGAGAAATATTTTAAATGATACAAAAATTTTAAGTGTTCAATAGATAATAAGGGTAGCTAAAATGGAAATAATGATGGCTATTTTATATTTTTCAAATAGATTGAAAAATTAGGAAAAGATCAGTGTGGAGCCCTGAGCTAACTCTTCCAGGTTTAAATCAATCCTTTAATCAGAACTCTTTGGGTGTAGGTGTTCATTTAACTATATAATCATCCTGCTTCTCTCTCTGGCCTGCTTTTCTAGAATTTGTTGGTCAAGACAGACTTCCCTCACTCCCTCATTCTTCATTCAGTACCTACAGGGAGCTCAGTATTCCAATGCTGAGTGAAAGGGAACTCAGCAGTGACCAGGGGAAGCTCTGGTTTCAATCTACCTGGAGAGAGAATTCCCCGATGCCTAGCTATGATGCCATTGCCATTTCCCTGAACTTCTACACATCTAGCAACTTAAAAAAAAAAAAAAAAGTTATGTCCAAATGATTCACTTATAACAGATTTTTTTTTTAGCTTATAAAAATGGATGTTTGATTTGTTATTATCATTCTCTCCCCACCCACCTTGAACTGTGGATTGAACTCAGGGACACTTAACCAGTGAGCTACATCCCCAGCCCTTGCTTTATTTTTTTATTTTGAGGCAGGTACTCACTAAGTTGAGGATGCTGGTCTTGAACTTGCGATCCCCCTGCCTCTGCCTTGAGTATTGGATTACTGGTGTGTGCCACAATGACTGGCTGCTATTATTTCTCTTTTGTAATCCATAATCTCTTCTGTGTGAAGATCAGCTGATTTTAGTTGCTTTGGTCAACAGCTCAGCCATATGTTTACGTCCTGAATCCCTGCCACCTCCTTTCATTATAAATAATAGTCCTTATCTCCCTCAGAGCCAAGGTGTAAGGCTCATATTCCATTATGGATACAAATGGCATTTATGAACTTTAAAGGGCTGTGCAAAAATGTAAGGTGATAATATTGCTATTTGTTCCCATATCATTCATCGGTTTTAAACTTCAAAGTAAGATTGTTATTCCTGATCTTTATTTTCTCTTGAAAATCACTAGATGTTTCCCTTGTTTTACGTCTCTAAGCCATGCCTGCCATATCTACTCACTATTTAACTTCATGATGTTATAAACATTTTCTATACCCCTCACATTTAAGTTTTATTAATACTGATTAGACTGCTATCAAATTCTGTGTTCCTGCTTTTTGTGGGATGAAGAAAACAGTCCTGCTCAGTCCTGCTCATCATCTCCTGTGTAGATAGGTTCTCCTCCTATAGTCTTGTACTCACATTCAGCTGGAGTGAGAGATCAAATTTCTACCTGCCCCATATCTTTTGGTTTCTGCACCAGGATCTCAAGTCCTTGGAAGGTTCTCTTCAGATGACGACTCCTTCTCCTCCTCCTCCTCCTCCATTTTTTTAGTTGTCAATGGACCTTTATTTTTCATTTATTTTATTTATTATATCTAGTGCTAATAATTGAAGCCAATGCCTCACATGTGCTAGRCAAGCACTCTACCACTGAGCTACAGCTGCAGTCCTCTCTTTAGGCTTCTTGGTGTGAGCATTCATGATGTTTTTTGATAACAAAGTCTCATGGAGAAAGGGTGTGGGGGGGTCATTTTCCATTTGGGGCTCCCGTAGAAGGGATCTTTCTGCCCCTTCTTTAATAGCATGTCTTCTCCTTTGTCCATTCTTCTTAATAATTGCTCCGATAATTTCTAAATTGTGTATGGTCCTCCGTGACTTACACATCCTTGGTTTCAGTTCATCTCCTTTCAGCAAACATCAGATGCGTGGACAGCTGTGAGGCTAATGCTTCCAGACCCTCACTTGGGTAGTGCTGGTTGTAGTGCAGTCTTACATGTGAGAGCGGGGAAGGTCATCCCTGCTCCCCCAGGACTCATGATCTAGTTTGCGAGACAGTGCATATGCATCAATATATTAATTTCCATAAGCAAGTAACTAGAAATTGCTTTATGGAGCCTTATGCTTTGTAATATACTATGTTCTGGAAACTTCCTTGTTAAGCACATCATTTTTAATCAGCATTTTTTTCCAATAAGGTACAGTATAACTAGGTTCATAATATAATTTCCTGCCCAAAGCCTGACACTTTAAAGAATGGTAAGCATAATTATTAATAATCATACCACTCTAATAGGCTTAAAAAGGATAGAACCATCCTAGGCCAACTAGGGTATAGGTTCGCCCTAATTAAAACCAGAGACAAACAAGGACTCAAGCATTTCTTCTTAGTTTGAATCAGAATGACACAGAAGGAAAAGACCAAGCAACTTTAAATCTTTTTCGTTTAAATAAAGTAATAAATTGTACTCTGACTCCCATTAAATAGACAAAATAAGTTATATGTAATTAAAATAGGCTCTGAGAAGACTATGAAGTGTTTAGCATATGAAAACATGATCATCATCATAAATTTGTCTTATCTAATTATGTAGCAAAATTAATAAAATTTTTAATTAAAAATAGTTCTCTTGCCTTCTTTGATTTTGGTGGGTTTTTAAAACTCAGTAACTTAAAGATATCTGGTATCTTAAGGCAGGCTGCCCAGGGAAATTAGAACAGATGTCCTTTTTTCTTCTTAAATTTCTCAGAAACAGCAAATAGCATTCATGGTTTTCCCTCACTTCCTTCCATCCATCCATCCATCCATCCATCCATCCATACGTCTGTCCATCTATCTGTTCATCAGTATTCCCATCTATCATAGCTGTTTATTGAACAGTTATTATGTGTGGATCCCTAGATAGCTGGAATGCCTCATCAATATGATATGGTTTCTTTTTCTTTGTGTGTGCTTGTTTATGTTTCAGCTTTGCTTTGTTTTCTCATCTCCCTATTTCTCTTCCTTTATGTCTTCAAAGCAAGTTCTTGCGGTATTAAGCCTCTTTCTGTATTTGGCAAGGTACTTGACTATTTAGTCAGATGTTATAAAAAATCTTCATGAATATGCATCTTTGACTTTTTTTTAAATGCTCCAGGAAAAGAAATTCAAAGGTACTAATAAAGAAGGAGGATCTAATAAATGCAAGTTTCCAGCAAGCAGAAGTAATTCCAGCAAATGTCTCTAGTTTATAAACTGTTTCATTTAAATTCTTCTATTATTCTACTCGATATTTCTCCTCTGTAAGAGGAGTACAAGTGGTCATTACAAAGTGGATTTGGTATTCCAGGGAAGGGAAAGTAGTTTAGTGGGGTTCAAAAAATGAATGCAAATCAGGAAGTAGTAGTGGTCTGTGGCAAGAGATTTGGCTTGAGAAGTAAACTATTGAGCTGGGCTTAGTGGCACATCCCTGTAATCCCAGTGGCTTGGGAGACTGAGGCAGAAGAATCATGAGTTTAAAGCCAGTCTCAGCAACAGTGGGATGTTAAGCAACTCGGTGAGACCCTGTCTCTAAAAAAAAAAAAAAAAAATACAAAATAAGGCTGGGGATGTGGCTCAGTGGTCAAGTGCCCCAGAGTTCAATCCCTGGTGCCAAAAAAAAAAAAAAAAAAAGTAAAGCAGAGATCTTATAAACTATCTTAGGAGCTTGAACTTTATCCTGAAAGCAGAGAGAAGTCTTTAAAGGCTTTTTAAGTCAAAGAAGTTACATACTGCTGTTTACCCCTAGGGAAGGTTGGAAGGAAGGTAAGTATGGATGATGGCAAACCAGTTAAGAGGTTTTAGAAATCCAAGGCATAGTGACCTGAACTAAGGGGTGGAGAGAAGTTATCACTTTCCAAACCAGCATATTTAGTGATTCAGTGTGGGAGCTTGGGGTTATTACAAAGTGTTCCCAGATTGCTCCTTGCAGGCATCTGAGAATGGTGGTGCCACTTACTGAAATAGGCAGTGGGGAAGCATGGGGCTTGAGCAGGTTTTCGCTCAAGCCTGTGCTTGCCATCAAAGTTGCCACCTGCTTTTTGGTAGTCCTCAGTGCAGTGTCTTACAATTGGATTCCCCCTCTAAGGGCTTTGTTGTGAGCCGTTGAAGATGCTGTTAATCTCAGCTGATTTTTCTACTTCATTTCTTTCACTTTCTCTGCCTCTCCCAATGACGTCAAAAGTCACCTTGCAAGTTAAACAAGGCCACAAAAGGATAGTCTGGGGTGTGTGAGTGTGTGTGTGCACACATGTGTAAGTGACAGTGTCAAGCCTGGTATTGCTTTGTTAGTTTGGCTCATAAATCTCTGCCCAGTGGCAGAAAGACTGAATAAGAAATGACAAAAATGAGAGAGTTCCACGGTCAGACTGCTTAGGTTCTTGGTGAGATCTTAGACAAGTTATTTTCATCCCTATCAATTTCCTCAATTGTAGGATGGAGATAATAGGATTGGCCTCATTTTTAAAGTGTTACCTAATGTTATTGTATGTAAAAATCCTTAGAATGAGGGCTGGGGCTGTAGCTCAGTGGCAGAGTGCTTGCCTAGCATGCATGAGGCGCTAGGTTTGATCCTCAGCACCACATAAAAATAAATAAATAAAATTAAAGGTATTGTGTCCAACTGCAACTAAAAATATATACATTAAAAAAATCCTTAGAATGAGACGTAGTGTTTACAATGTTTAGAGTAGTTTTTAGCACTGTAATTTAAATAGGTTTTCTTTTGGCAACGTGAAATGAGCAAAGCCACAGATAATGGACAGGGTCTTAGAAAGTGGGAGAATTGATGGAATTAAACCTCATGATCTTTTTGTCTTGGACACATAATTTTGGGCCTTGTAAATAACACTGTAGTGGAGGTGGGATCCTTGTGAGTTATTCCTCCTGGTAAGAGCCTTCTGTGGTGGTAGTGGTGGCAGGGGCAGTAATGAAAAAGGCGAAGTACCTTCTATTCAACCTTCACATCCACCTATAGGGTGGGTACTGTCACTCTCCAGTCTTGCAGGTAAAGAGACTGTTAGGGTAAGCAGCAGCCCCAGATCCCAGAGCACTGAGCAGTGGAGCTGGGATGCAAGCCAGGCAGTTACCTTAAGAGCYTGAGCTGCTTAGCCCCAACACCACCAAGTTGCTTCTGTAAGGTGTGTTCTGCTGGTCTGATCCTCAATTATTTCATAGCGCTCTAACAGAAGAATGGAGGGTGACTTAATTTTCACTAACATGATTAGTTTTGATTTTGATGTTCAGGGCCTGAGACTTCAGATTCGAGTCGTGTAAGAGATWGTAATCTCTTTTTTCCATTTCTCTTTTAGATATCAGTTTTTCTTGCAGGTGAAACAAGATGTGCTTCAGGGCCGGCTGCCCTGCCCCGTCAACATTGCTGCTCAGCTGGGAGCCTACGCCATCCAGTGTATGTTCCACTTCAGCGTATTTGCTTCAGAAATGTCTGGGGGAAATATTTGAAGTTTTCTTTGTATGCAAGTTGATATCCTAAAACTCTTCTTATCAAATGACAGTTGGAAAAAAAAAACAAACCAAATTTAGTCAGAATTCAGGTTTTGACCAGTGTCCTTCAGAAGAGGTAAAACTGGAGTCAATTACATTTCCCTTGTAGTAGGTTGCATGGAGTTTTAGTTGCAGAAATAGCATTCATTCTTGTTTTAGTGGAGGGCCTAAAGATCTGCTCTACTCTACATCCCACTTGATTTCAGTGCCTCTACACCCTGCCCCCTCCCTGACAAACTGTTGTATCTCAAAGATAACGTTGCTTCTGGGCAGTTGTTGTACAGACTTCACATGGTCAGGTGCCAGCACCAAGTTCAGTGTGGCACACGGCTCTTGACATCAGTGTGGCAGCCATATGGGATGGCTCTGGGTTCTTCTGTCTTTTTAGAGACTAAGGCTGAGACTATTTCTACTAATGACTATTGAACACCTTTTAAGAATCAAGCTAGGGAAACAAGACTGCATGATTCTTGGCCCTGTGAAACTTGTAGACTGGAAATTATGTAGAAATAATATCCCAGGAAAGCTGTGGAATAGATGAACTGGGTTGGGGCTTGGGAGGTAAGTTAACATAGGGAGGAGAATTTTTGTAAGAGCAATATAGTGAGCTTCCTGGTTTCACTTTGTTTCTTTGTTAAACAGACGGAGTATGTACAGCATTGTATTATGTTTCCGTCACCATTATTTGAGGCATAGATGTTTGAATCACATGTTCTCTCTCTTTGTGTGTCATTGAGAGGATATACGGGGGTAACCTCCAGCTTTTCTACCATATGTACCCTAAAGTCTGTTTATAACATTTTATTTCATATAAACTGATAAGAATAATTGAAAGGAAAATCTCAGGAAAAGCAGAAATACAAAATTTATATTTTCAAGTCAAGATTTTATGTCATCCATATATGCTCATCATATTTTAGTAAAATGTTTAGTAGTTATACAGGTATTTTTATGTTTAAGAAAAATGTTCACACATGATAGGAATATTTTTAGAAATGTTTTTCTAAAATAGCATAAAATTATAATTTCTTCCCCCGCCCCCAGCTGAACTTGGAGATTATGACCCATACAAGCATACTGCAGGATATGTGTCAGAGTACCGGTTTGTTCCTGATCAGAAGGAAGAACTTGAAGAAGCCATAGAAAGGATTCATAAAACTCTAATGTAAGAATCATGTCGTATGTTTCATCAGCCATCAGTGGTCACTGCAGGTTAATGACAATCATAAGAAAAGTTTTTAGAACCATAAAGTTTTCACCTGTGCCTTGAACATTCTAGCTTGATTTCTCTTGTAATAACTTTTACTGATTGCAACACTAAAATGCTCATCAAAAGCTCAAGAGATTTTAAAAGTACAATGAAGAAAGTCAATTCTAAAAGCCAAAGTCACCCTATATTTGGTCAGTGATACTGCAGGCCTGTCTCTGTGCATAACTTCCCACAGACAAAATTTATTTTGCATAAATTTATGTATTATGATCTTATGTAAGTGAATTCATTCTATAAGTACTGTGTTTTACAATCTTTTTTTTCGGTCACTAGTGTCTTATGAAAAATTTTTAACTGTAAATATTATTTTTAACTATAAAAAAAACCACAAATGCCTTAATGTATTCTAGATTTGCTCTGGGTTAAGTATGTAAATTCTTTGCAATTAGAAACAAAGTCCTATTCAGGCTATCACAGTGAATCTGGAAATCACGATGACATGTGTGCAGCCTCTGAGGGCGTTGTGTTAACACCACATGCACTTCTGACAGTAGATGCGCTCCCCTAGTAGGATTTTCAATTAATAGCCTGGAGCATTGAAGTTATAATTTAATTATACTTATTTTGGTTAAATCCTCTATACTGATTAACTTTGCTTTTTTTGCTTCTTATGTAACATTCCCCCTTGAATATACTTGGTTTCAGATCTATTATAGTCAAGGAAAAAAAATGTAGAATTTATCTGCTCAACAAAAAAATATTTGCCTAAAGGATCTGTTTCAGTGAGTAGATGCAGAAGTCAGTTGCTGAATGGTAATCAGAGAAACCTGGCTCTGCATGTTGTATTAGCCTGTGCTAGAAGGCTCTCCAGCCTGGTTATAGAGTCCTTCATTTTAAGGTTTTACTAAAGTGGATGCTAAGAGAGTGCTTGTTATAACATCATAAAGGGCAGTGTGTTTGGTACATTTTGAGAATATTAATTCTACCAGGAGTTTCCAAGCACAATTGTGTTTAGACATTATCATGGAGCTTTAAATAAAGGCCCTCAGACATGTTTTATGTGATGGTGTGGATAGTGTGACTGTTTTACTGGGAATTAACCATGATCAAGGCCTGGTAGCTTTCTTGTGTCTAACTTGTGATGAATATTCTTCACAGATTTCACAAGTATGCTACATTGTGAGTTTTTCAGTATGCCTGGCTGACATGAGGGAATGTATCAAAGCAAATTAAATTTCTAAGTTTTTAGAAATTCATAGGTTCTTTTGTTAACCATTCCAGTGTCTCTCTCTCTCTCTCTCTCTCATACACACATATACATACACACTCTTAATTTATCCATGGAGATTCCTGGCAGATGCTTGCTCTCATTAGGAATCGGTGCTATTTTCTGTATTTATCACCARTGAACATTTCTCTGTTCTCTGTTGAGAAAATAATAGGTACTGTTACAATTTCTGTATGTTAACTAATGTATTTCTAAACTTCATTGTGCTCAGAAGATGTTGCTATGACCCCACTAAGAGGTGGGGACCCCATTCTCCTCTCCTTTCCACCCCTGTGCTAGCTCCTTTCTCTTCTGATGCAGAGCTGCTGGTGCAGGGAGACATTTTGCTCTTTGTGAAGTGGAGGCTTTTAAATTTGCGTGCTTATGTCCTCAAAAACCTCTTTGGGGGTTTTTGAAATTGAGAATTTTTAATATATGTTGGGACATTAGGGATAGACTATAATGAGCAAGGATCTATTTATTTAGTAAATGAAATTAACTTAATATGTATCACCTCGAAACATACAATTTTGTCACTAGCAAGGTGAAGTCCTTCTTGAAATACAAAAACTTTTGTTCACATTAATACAAAGGGTTATTTTTTCAGTGAATACAATGAAGCTGGTTTGCAACCCGTGTAAGCGCAATAGCTAAGGGTAAAGTAAGGCTCTTTGYTTTTTTTGCTGGGTACAGGGGTCAGGCTCCTTCTGAAGCTGAACTGAATTACTTGAGGACAGCCAAATCCCTGGAGATGTATGGTGTTGACCTCCATCCTGTCTATGTGAGTAACATTTAATTAACACAAAATATTTTAAGCTGATGACATTTTTCTTAAAAAGTCACCAAGACTCCCAAAGGAAAACGGTAGTCCTGTTGTTCAGCAAGCAGATGATACCTTTTCATTTGTGTTTTTTGAACAGAAAGCAGCTCTTGCATGGATTAAACTCTAATGAATTTTGCATAAAAGTCTGTGATTATATTACCATGTGTAGAAAACAATTAACTGGACTTGAAAACACAATCTGGATAACAGTTCCAAAGGGTTTAGCTAAACATCAAAACAACTTAAAATTGGTCTATATTTGATTGTATTAGAAAACAGGAAGATTTTTCCCAAAATAGATTTGATGGCTTAAAAACACAATTCAGGTTTCTAACCAGGTAAAGCAAGGGTTAGGTAGTGGTCTGGGTGCACCAACGGGTGGTTCTATGTTGACTGTGCAGGTCTGTCGCTGTAGGTATCACTGCCTTCATAAAAATATTTGTTTTCTTCAGTGCCTGATGAAAACTTGCTAAGTATAGTCAGCAATTAACACTGGATCTGTATTGAGTGTTCTGAATCCAGGTCTTACGTCTGAGACATTTCTCTTATACTGCCAATTGATTATTCTATGCCAGTGAGATTGAAATGCCATTGCCTTTGATTTTTGTTCAAGTGTACTTAGCTGTACTTAGCAATAATAACATTTGATTATTTGAGAAAATGAGCAAAGTTCTTAATTCTCTATAGGAAATTGCCGAAGAGTATATTTAGGCTTACTTTTCATCAGTTGGATCATGAAACTCAATTTTTAAGGAACCCTGATAAATCTTTCTCTCATGCAAATAACCCACTCATGCATTCATTATATAATATGTCTTTTTCTCATCAGCATTTTTTGAAAACAAAAAAACTCTCTCATATTATTTTTAGAGAATGAAATGCATTCCTGGGTACACAGTCAGTGTGGCAGTAAAAGTTACAGATTTGGGAAGAACAGTAATTCTTTGATATATTAGATTCCAATCTCATGAGATCATTAAATGCTTCATAGTTCCCTCCTTTAAGAATACTCTTAACAGCCTGTGATCCCAGTGACCCGGGAGGTTGAGACAGAAGGATTGCAAAGGCCAGCCTCAGCGATTTGATGAGGCATTAAGAAATTTAGTGAGACCCTGTCACAAAAATAAAAAGGGCTAGATATGTAGCTCAGTGGTATAGCACTCCTGGATTAAATCCCCAGTCCCCTCTGCCCCCAAAAAGAATAAGATTTCATGGAGTGGTTATTTTTCCCCATCTAGTCATATTAATCTTGTTAGGCTTTTAGTTTTGTTGTTGTTTTAATCTACTAGAAATTTATTGAGAAAGTCTTCTGCAAAATGCTTCTGTTTCTGTCATCTTTATCCTAGTTAACCATCAGACTTTTTCATTGTTAGTTGGAATTCATGGGAAATGAACTTGATATGTTAGAATCTTCCATACATTTAAGATTGAATTTCTAGGACTGCAAGTGGGTAACAGCTGGTATTCTCCCAAAACGTATTGTTACCTTGTGTTCCTGTGACTATAACTTTGCAGGCTGTTTGACAGTTCTGTACATGTTCTTGGTATCCACTCTGTGACTTTTAAAATTTCAGGATCTTGAAAATAATCATAGCCCAGAAATAAATTTTATCCAGTCTTTACCAGAAGAGATTGTATTTTTTAAATTTTAAGTAGTCTTAAAGTTAGGGCAGGAGGGAACACGATAAACCTCAGAAAGTTCAAGTGTGTGTCTGTTGATGGCTGCTGGGACTTTCTGATGAAGGTTGTGGTGTAGTAACCTGGGCCTCATGATTATCCATATCAGAGTAAAATTAAGACAAGGCATTGGAAAGCACCCTTGGTAGAAGCTAGTGGATCTCAACTTTGGCTATTCAGAGAATCACTTGGGACACCTATGTTGTTTTGATACTCTGGCCCCTTCTCTAGAGATTCTGATTTAACTGGTTTCTGTAGCACTCAGTCATTAGCATTTTAAGATGCCTGGGGGATTCCAGTTAATGTGCAGCTTGAGTTAAACACCACTGTGGAAGCAACACTGGATAAGTCAATCAGTGGCCTGAGAGGTAGTCCAAATTCCTTTTAGTAAATTGAAGTTGCAAGTGTGAATTAACATGGAGGTAGAGAAGTTCTCTTAGGGAACTTTGGGGGAAAAAAAAGAGCATCAAGTTAGTCATTGTCATAACTTAGCTGGATTTTTAGGCAGATGTCTTTTAAAAAGTAAATCCAACATTAATCCAACAAATTATATTTATATGGCCAATTGTAGTTTTATAAAGAGCTTTTATGTGAATAAACTCATGGTTTTAAGTTTGTGTTTGTTTTTGCAGGGAGAAAACAAGTCTGAGTATTTCTTAGGATTAACTCCTGTTGGTGTTGTTGTCTACAAGAATAAAAAGCAAGTGGGGAAGTACTTCTGGTAGGTATAACTCCAGGACAGAGTTGGTATAAAAGCTATACACTGCAGAGCCGGCATGATGGTGCATGCCTGTAATCCCACGGCTTGGGAGGCTGAAGCAGGAGGATCAACAGTTCAAAGCCAGCYTCAGTAACTTAGCAAGGCCCTAAGCAAAGCAACTCAATGAGACCCTGTCTCTAAATAAAATGCAAAATAGGGCTGGAGATGTGGCTTAGTGGTTAAATGCCCCTATGTTCCATCCTTGGTACAAAAGAAAAAAAACAAACAGACTATACACTTACTAGACTTGTATGTTAGTGAAAGTGTTGGGGAAAAGGAAACAAGTACGTTTTCCATAGTTCATAAATAAATGAGTGCTATTGGATATAATTTCCTCTCAATGTACCTTAGTGTGTGTGTGTGTGTGTGTGTGTGTGTGTGTGTGTGTGTGTGTGTGTATATATATATATATATATATATATATTTAATCTGTAAATTTCAAGCACTGTGGGTCTGGACTCTCTTATCCATGGAGAGAGTATGTAGTAGGACTTCCCACCCATTCCAATGTATGGTATGAGCTGGAGGCCCAGCACCACTCTAAGTTTTAGCTCTAACTAGGGAAGGGTTGGAGGAATTGGGGAGCCTGTGCTCCTGCATATGTCTGGGGAGGTGGTACTGTCAGGGCCAGTGGATTCCAAGCTTATTTTTGTAGTTAGTGGAAAAGTATAGGATAATAAGAATGGAAGATGTCCAGAGCAAACGACCCAGAGGGGATTCTGCAGTCACCTCAGCAGTATATAAAAGAGCCAATATTCACTAGTCTTTTCTCACTGTATACGTCTCTGAATTTCTAAAAGACTAATTCTTCAAAAAGCAGTGACTACACCACCATCTGCTTTGTTTTTCAGGCCTCGGATTACAAAGGTTCACTTCAAGGAGACTCAGTTTGAACTCAGAGTGTTGGGGAAAGATGTAAGTTTTTGTGAGCACTTAGCATAAATGAGAAGGGGGAGGGTCTTATCTGCTCATTTTTATAACTTAGAATACATTGTGAAATAAAAAGACATGTTTTCTTTGGCTGCAGCCACGTGGAACCAGGTTAATTAACTGACATGCACAACTTCTCAAGGAAGGGAAAAGGAAATGAGTAGAAATGAATGAGAGGCTAATGGAAAAATGTCATTTTGGTTTTAGCAAGGGAAAGCAAAACATTTCCAGGACTGAAGAGAGAAAAAGAGGTGATTATCGTTATTACTGTAATTTGCTTTTCTGAACTGCCCGTGAAGGTAGGATTCATGTAATCTAAAAGGTGTAGCCTGCATACAGGACTACAAAAATGGGTCCTAATTTTGGTCTAAAATCAATTAAACAACCTGTTGAGAGTTACACTTCTGCTCTTTCCTCACCCAGTGTGATAGACAACCCAGATGAAAATTGTGGGTACTTTCAAGGGAGAATGTAAGGTGAAAGCCCAGAAATGCTGACCTTCACTGCCCGTTGGATGTGTTTGGTAATGGACATGGGTCAGCACCTGGCTGTGCTTTAGCATGCCTTGGCAGGTACTTTTAGGAAACTGGTCAAAAGAAAGCATGGTGTGAAAGCTTCCTTTTGATCTACCTGTGAAAATAAAGCACTCTGGAAGTGCTATTAGTAGAATCCTTATAGGATAAATGAATGGAAATATAGTGTAGGAAAATTTATCCTTATTTCTTTTTTGGTTCTAACCTTATGTGGGAAAAAAGCTAAGTATAAATGGAATTGAATTGACTTTTTGATGTTAAAAAGATCTTAAAAATAAATCAGTGCTCACATGTCCACATGTGAAGGTATAGCATCAGTTCAGCTGCCGTGATAGTTGGGACTTGGTATTTGGCACATCATCTCACCTGTAGTTGGTACTCAGTAAGTACCTGTCAAATGATCAATGAACTGATTATTGTGAATACAAGAATATGTACTGTCAGTTCAGAAAACCTAGTACTACCTTTGTTATCTTTTATAAAACAAAACAAAACAAAATAATTATCTCACACTGAACTATATGGCAAGTTGGCATTTATTGATAAAATTATATTGAAAGAAATGTTTCAAGGTGTTTTTTATAGCAGAAGATTAATAAAGTGATAAGATCTCTCAAGAAAGCCTTACTATTACTCAAAGTATTCTTTTCCCTTATACCTAAGTATTTTTGTGAAATATTGGTGAACTCCTTTTATGTTGTTATTACAGTGCTTTAAAATATCTTCTACAACCTCACGACAAATATTTGGTAAAGTCAAAGATAACCTTGCCATACCTGGTGGCATATGCCTGTAATCTCAGGGACTTGGAAGACTGAGGCAGGAGGACAAGTTCAAGGCCAGTCTGGGTAACTAAGCAAGACCCTGTCTCAAAAAATAAAAAGATCTGGAGATATAGTTCAGTAGTAGAGTACCCTGGGGTTCAATCCAGTACTGAAAAAGAATTAAAAAACAATAACAACAATAAAGCTAACCTGAATTTTCAGCTGTTTAGATTTCTTCAACATAATGCAAAACTAACAGCAGCAACACAATGAACATCATTGTGAATTTTTCCTTCTGTCTTTCTCCCTCTCTTTTGAGGCCAGGGGCCCTTTATTACTGAGCTACCTCCCTACTCCTTTTTATTTTTGAGACAGGGTCTCATTGTGTTGAGGGTGGCCTTGAACTTGCATTTTTCCTGCCTTGGCTTCCTAAGTCTTGGAGATTACAGGCATGCACCAACACACATGGMTCACTGATTATATTTCAATATCAATCTCTATGATATGACCTGGTTTTCTAGATACTTTGTTCAGTCCTTGTCCCTTCCAGCTTTGAGATGGTTTGTGGCCTTTTTTTTTTTTTGGTACCAGGGGTGCTTAACCACTGAGATACATCCCCAGTCCAGGACAGTGAGGTGGGGATTTATATATTTTATTTTGATACAGGGTCTCACTAAGTTGCTTAGGGCCTTGCTAAATTGCTGAAGCTGGCTTTGAACTTGTGATTCTCCTGCCTCAACCTTCTGAGCTTCTGGGATTACAAGCATGAACCACCATGCCTGGCTCAGCTTTGAGGTAGAAAAAGGATGTTTGAGAAGCCTGAGGCACGATGCACTCCTGGGTGGTCAAGCCTAGTGTCAGTGATCTTTAGTAGGGTGACAAAACAGGTCACTTAATGCAGGGGCTTGCATCAAAGGAATTTTTAAAATTGTTATTAAATAACACATTAATTAACCTAACCATTCTATTTCCTGAGCATTCTCGCTTGCAGAGTTTTTTCTCTCTCCACCAGGTACCTTTCTGGGAGGCAGTGATTTACATAATGGTAGAATTAAGTTGATTATTATGGAGGCCTAACTGTAATCACAGATTGAATTAAAAAGCCCCTTAAAACCTATCACCTGGAACAGAAATCACATTCAGCTTGAAAAATGGTTGAAATGCTTATTCTGCTGGTTTTCTGGTCTGCTGGTATGGTCAGAGAGACTTAACTCAGTGTGTCCAGTGCTTTTAGGCTAAATTCAGAGACACTTTTATGCATTATTTATATTTCAAAATAGGCTTTGTGGTTTAAATAACACCTCACAGAAAATAAAACTTTTGGTATGAAGATTTTTTACATGATGATGGTATCAAATCTGAGAAAGACACAAAGAAGAAAATTACTGTTTCTTATTATCCTAAAATCCAGAGGTAATGATTATTAACATTTTGATATATTTGCTCCTAGATTTTGCCCTACTAGTGTGAATGTATGTATATAAATATATATGTATTCATGTCATTCCCTATATGATTTCATACATGCTTTTTACTTAATATTGTATAATAAGACTTTCCCTTCTTTTCTTATATTTATTCATATGTACTTGCTAGGTGTTAGATAAGTTTCATTTTTATGTGTTTTGCTCCTTTTCTTGCTATTGCAGGTTTCATATTTTCCTCCTATTTTCTTAACTGATTTTTGCTAGATGTGAAAGCTATGGGATTTTATGTGTTTATCTCAGATGGGGCCATTTTACCCAATTCTTGTGTTTTAGCCAAGAGTTCTTCATTTGATTCTCATAAAATTTTATAGCTATATGTCATTTTTCAAGTGAAAATTATTTATTACTCCATTTCTGCTGTTTTTCATATTTAAAGTGTTGTTGGAACTTCTGGAAGTTTTAAAAGCTATCACCACTGAGGCCTCCTTGCTGGCCTTAGTGATTCTACCTCTAACCTATCTTTAATGAAATCCAGAGATGACAGTGGTTCTGTCTCAGCAGAGCAGCATGGCAGCAGCTGAAAAACTGAGAAACTGTTGGATTCCAGACTTAACCTCCAGGGCTTCCTGATATGGGGAGATATGAGAGAGGATTCCTGGTGATTTAAAGGTGTTTGGTTTCAGAGGAAGGATGAGCAGGACTGAGAATTGACTACTAGATTTAGAATGTAGAAGGCCATTGACAAAACTTGTCTCAGTGGATTGGAAGAATGAGCTTCAACGCAGTCATTCCCCTCTTAGAAATAAATGCTGGAGAGAAACACAACACAGTTGTGCTCTGTGCAGTACTTAAGTAAAAGTTAAAACAATGAAAAGAGCCATAAGTCCATAAATAGGAGAATGAACGAATAAATTGGCACACATCCATTGAGGAAAAAGAAGGGGAAGAATAGAAGAGGACTTGGAGATGGTGAGATAGACAACTCTCCTGGGGAGTTTTGGCACAAAGGGATTAAATAGGGATGCAGGAGCATCAGGATGTGAGGGGATCACAGCCACCATGAGGGACTGCAGGTGGTATAAGATAGGAGATTTAGGGGAAGGAGAGAGCATGCTCTGAAGCAGTACTGGCAGCAGTAGGACCCTTCCCTGCTTTAGGCCCTGTGATGTAAGAACAGTAGGGGACAAAAAGCACACCAATTGGGAAGGCAGCAGTGGCAGCTATGTCCTCAGGGGAGCACCAGCTTTCTCGTAGTGCAGGAGGGTGAAGGAAATGTGAGAGAACAGACTGAGAGGGGTTTGGGATTTTGCTGATGAGAACCCATGAATTCCAGAGGGCATAAAAGGGAGGGATTCAGGAGTTGGGTATGGTGGAGATGGAAACAGATCAGGAGAATGAGTACAGATAATGTGCTGAGCATTATTTGGAGATAACTGATACCAACAGTGGTAAGAAGCATGAGGAGCATTGGTCTAGTGGGTTCAGGGGCTGTGACTGTTGGTAGAGATTTTCTGGCTGCTCACCTTGATGATGGGATAGAAGGCCTAAGGAAAGGGGATGGTCCCAGTAGCTAGTTCAGTCTGACAGTTTTTGGGAAGGGCCTCTCTTTCTTGTGTACATGTGTTGACACTTGACATTTACTGGTGGACTTGAGGATTTGGGGAAATTGGGTGTTGCAGTAAAACTCTGGGCTTCAACCTCCATGACCAGATGTGCATTTTGGAAAGGGTGAAACCCTACACAGATGTGAAAACAAAGGTGGTCAGGTTAGGAGATAGCATCAATCAAGGGCAGATGAGGACTGACCAAAAGAGTGGAGAGAAGTGGGCAGATGTGGGGGGCGTTTAGGAAGTAAATTAGGAAGTTGCTTCTACTTGGTAGCAGATTCAATGTTTTTGTAGAAAATGGGGAAGAATTTAGGATCATACTCAAATTTCCTGGTTTTAACCACAGGGAGAGGGTGCCATTCCTAGCACCAGTCCCAGAACTTGGTATGTAGTAAGCACATTTGAGGAGGAAATGAAAGGATGAGAAAATGATGCTGTGATTACTCTTATATGCAGTGCATCATGAAATAAACCTCAGCTAAACTTGCTCAGCGTGACAGGATGTAGGACCAAAAAGTTCCTGGCAACTCTGGCCATGAGAAATTAGACCCACTTGGCAGAACTCTTGGTTGGATCTGCTCTGGGGAGAGCACACAGGAAGTGATGATGACCAGGAGCTGTCATTGTTGGTCAACAAACCCAAGAGGTCTGCTT